GAAACTGAAACCCAAAGACACTGATCCAGCTAGATTCCCATCCAGACCCCACTCCATTGTATCACTTCACCTTTTCTTTTCTCATCCTCCTTGGTGATTGCCTGCCCTTTAAGCCATTTGTGTCCTAAGGTCTGTAACTGCCAAGGGAAGTGTAAGGGGTGGGGCAGGGCTGTGGCCAACTGTGGTGGACACCGCCCAGAGCTAACTCTGCTGGCCAAAGTTGGAGGAATTTTCCAGCACAGAAGGGGAAGCCAGGCTCTAAGTACCTCTTACCCCCATGCCATCTCTGATCTATATCTTCCTAACCGATTCCTTCCTTCCTCCCCCTCCCCCAACCAAGACTTACCAGCCAATGGCTTCAGCAGTGGAAACCAGCCAGTGAAGAAGAGTTTCTTGGTATATCGTAATGACTGCAGCCTTCCCCGGAGCAGCTCAGACTCTGAGTCCAGCAGCAGTAGCAGCAGCAGTGCTGCCTCAGACCGGACCAGGTACTGGGCCTCCAGATCAAGGCCTGCCTCTGGGATGCCCTTCTGGGTTTCCCTAGGGGAAGTGGGGTGGCAGCCATCTCAGCCTAGATTAAGATGGCTCAAATCCAAGGTTCTCTGCAAAATAAATGGAATAGATGAGAATATCACCATAGTGGAACGGAAGGAAACATACTGGGTTCGGCTGGTGTTTTAGAGCAGAGGGTGTAAGCTGATGCCTTGTGGCTTGGATTTGGCCTACAGACATATTTTGTTTGGCTAGCATGGTGTTTTTTTAAAAAATGAATCCAGAAATACCACATAAAATTCCCAGTTTCTGTATTTTTAAAAATTAGATCTGGCACATCTGGCCGGTATTGCTTTTAGACAGGGCATATGTTCATCACCACCACTGCTAAATCCAGCCCACATCAGTCCAATCACTGCCAAGCCACTGAGAGCATTTGGATTTGAAAATCTTTAAGTAGCTTCTGCTTTCCAAAAGACTCTGGGCATTTAAAGAAGGACACCCACCATGCCATTCTCCACTCTTCTCCTTTGAGCTGAGCTCCCCTTGTCTTATCTACAGCACAACACCCTCAAAACAAGGCAGAGGCAAGCCCTCCTTCTCTCGGGGCACATTCCCAGAGGACAGCAGTGAAGATACCTCAGGCACTGAGAACGAGGCCTACTCCGTGGGCACTGGCCGCGGCGTGGGCCACAGCAGTAAGTACCCTCCCCCAAGGCCAGGGATGCTGGGGGCCCAGTGTCTGGGCCTTGCCAGCCCCCTGTCTGCTGATCTCCCCCCTCTCTCCCATTCCTGTGAAGTGGTAAGGAAGAGTCTGGGCCGGGGAGCTGCCTGGCTGTCAGAGGATGAGGACTCCCCGCTGGATGCTCTGGACCTGGTGTGGGCCAAATGCCGAGGGTATCCATCATACCCAGCTCTGGTAGGCCTTCTGCCTTTCTTGTCATATCCCTGGTGTGTCCACTCCAGAATGCAGACTCACAATTAGATTTTTCCTACTCTCTGCTAAGCTGCAGAGTACGTGGGTCTTTGGCAGGTAGAGGTCCCCGATTAGTTTTTCCATATCTCGCTTTTCCCGCCCTTTACTCCTTGGGCTCTGAAATAGTTCAGCATAGGTAGAAGGTCAGCATTGCAGCCCTAGTTAGCATGATAACCTTTCCATGTCCCTACTTCAAAGGAGTCTCCAAGTTTTTGGATAGAGTTAGCCTTGGAGAAGAAGGGGACTGAACCAAACCAAGGTCTTATTATTCCTTCAGATCATTGATCCAAAGATGCCCCGGGAAGGCATGTTCCACCATGGAGTTCCCATTCCTGTGCCCCCACTAGAGGTGCTGAAACTTGGGGAGCAGATGACCCAGGAAGCCCGAGAGCATCTCTACCTCGTCCTCTTCTTTGACAACAAGCGAACCTGGTAAGGGAGGAGGGGAGCATGTGGTGACTCACAGCCACAAATGCAACCCTGGAAATGGGGGCAGGCTGCCAGGAAATTCCAGCAACAAACAGTCTGGGCTGTCACAAATCAGTGGGGGAGGGACTTAGGTTTTTAAGGAAGAGGTTGTGTTGACCATGAGTCTGAGCAGCTGAGTGGGCAGCAGCTGACAAACAACTGTGGCTAGAAAACAAAGGACCTTCAGTAACTGACAAATATGAGAGTGGCTCCCCACCCAGACTCAGGTGATTTCTAGACTTAGTTTTCCCACCTCTGCCTCCATGGTGACAAGATGAGGGTAAAGCAAACATAAAGTCAGACTCTGAATCCCTCTCCTGTCTTGTTTACATATGTAATCTTTTTGTTAATTGTCTGCAGAGGATTTTTAATGTCAGTAAAGTCTTCCTGGAGCCTATGGGTAAGGGTGCCTATTTCAGGTTAGGTCATGGCTCCTCCTTTTTACACGCATAACAACCCTGCGGTTACCCCTCAGTATGACAGTTGACTGGGCTCTTTCATCACTGTGAGCTGTTATTTGAGAGCAGGGACTATGTCCCTTGGTCTCTGTAACCCCATTGCCCACTAGAGCCTGGTTCTCCAACGTGTTTTTCAATGAATAGAGTGAGGAAGACTGGTGCTTATTGCTCTCCCAGAGATGACTTATTTGATCTTCGTTTGTCTTGTAGGCAGTGGCTGCCTAGGACTAAGCTGGTTCCTCTAGGTGTGAACCAGGACCTTGACAAGGAGAAGATGCTGGAGGGCCGCAAGTCTAACATCCGCAAGTCAGTGCAGATTGCCTACCATAGGGCTCTGCAGCACCGCAGCAAGGTCCAGGGAGAGCAGAGCAGCGAGACCAGTGATAGTGACTGATACTGCCCAGCACAGCTCAACCTACAGTGCCCTGCCACCTCTCTCCCCTTTGCTCACTGTCCTGGAGTGGCACCGGCCTCTGCACTGACTCATTCCTGGTCTTGGGGCCAGTCTCAGGGGAAGCTGGGTGGGGGAGGTCCCTCCTGCCCTGAGTGCAGCTGGACTGTACAGAACACTCCAGGGGCCCATGGTAACTCTGTGCAAAGAGAGGGGAGGTCCCATTGGCCAGAAAGCTCCAGAGACCTCACAGCACTGTAGTGCATGGTGGTGGGCCAAGGTTAGGACACTGCATAAAACAGGCCATCCCACCACCTCTGCCTGCTCGTGCCAGGAAAATCCATAACTGCCTGGTGGCCTGAGGCCCATGCAGGTGATGAGGTGAATGGGCATCTGCCCAGCCTAACAGTGGGGTTGATGTCTGTCCAGCCTGGAAGAGGGGCACTAGGTGACCCCCTCCCCTGCTGTTGTAAATACTGTAATTAGTGGAGAATTTAAATTATTCTCATTTGTAACTGCGTTTCCGGGTCGCGCCAGAGTCATTTGGTACTAAAAAGACTGGGGCCTGTCCCCTCTTCCCTTCTTCCCATAGATTCCCCCACCTTTCAAACTGGTTTGTATTTATTTCAAAAGAAGAAAATATATTGATTCTTAGAAAATAAATTCTCTGTTTGGAATTCTTGGTTCTTGGCTTCTGCCAGAGCAAAGGGAGGTTCTGTCCCCCAGGGATGGCAAGTAATTGGGCCCAAGTGGTTGCTGGCTGCTCTGCATATTGCATTTGTAAGACGACAGCAAAGATAATATGACAGCTCTCATCTCCCATGCACTTACTGAGTGGCAGTACCTGTGCTGAGCTCCTTTAGATACAATTTCATGTAATCTTTGCATTAACAATAGGGAAGGTTAATAATAAGGTGGTTATCTCCACAAAGACACAGGTTTAGAAAAATTAAGTAACTTGCCTAAGTTCTTACAACTAGGAAGATGCAGAGCTAGGATCTGAATTCAGGTGTTTATCTGCAATTTGACCAGTATGCTGAACTGCTGGAGGAAGTCTACTGTCCATTCTTTCATGAACTTGAGATGTTTCAAATTCTTCACCAGTAGGATAGTCCAAGTGCTTGAGTCACTAGAGTTGTGACCTTCTCCTTAATTGGGGACAGAGCAGGAATGCAGACGGTTGCTATTGCTCTTCAGTCATTCCCAACACTGGCACCTTTTTTTCCAATTCAAACATTCATTGATGGAATGCCTTCCAAGTGGTAGGCACCTGTGGGGTGGTGTGCCAATGGATGACACGATCACAGGAACTAGTAGGAGGGTTTTGGAGCTACTGAGGAGTGGAACAGAGACAACAGCATGCCTGATGATACCAAATTCCTGGTACTCCCTGCTAGGTAATGTGAGTGGGGCACAAAGATAAATCAGTTGCAAATCTTGCCCTTAAGGAATCTGTAGTGTAATCATACAGCAACCAAAAATCACTATGCTAGAATGTAAAAATGTTGCCCGATTGCCCAGCCAGGCGTGGCTCAGCAGTTGAGCCTCGACCTAGTTTCCAGGATACCGGGGACTCCAACCCTAGTCAGGCGCATGCGGGAGGCAGCCGACCAATGACAACTCTCATCATTGATGTCTCTCTCTCCCTTCCAATCTCTGAAATCAATAGATATATTTAAAAATTTTTTTAAGTCGCCCAGATAAAAGAGCAAGTCTCCTAAATTTTTGTGACTTTCTCCAAGAGAATAAATTACATCTTTCCTGGGCTAAGGCAGCCGGCCCTGGCAACCAGGCTAGGCACACTGGCTGCCTCGGCCACACACTTGTGCTTGCACTCTGAGTTGCCTCTCCCAGTTCCAGAGAAAGCCCCTACACAGGCCGCATTTGGCTCGGCAGTGTGAGATGGTGGAGCGCTGAAGGAAAGGAGAGACGAGGGAGCAGCGATGGCAGGCTACAGGAGAGGCGGGGCGATCTGAGGAGTCAGGCCTCCAAGCGAAGTCTGTGAGGAGGCCTAAGACCCGCGGGCGCGAAGACAGAATCCTCAGGAGACAGACGCTGTGGAGACTCTTCCCAGGGGCTCGGTGGGCTGGAGCTGTGTTCGGATCCGGATCCTATTCTCAGTGAGGAGGGGTTCATCGGAGGAGGATTGAGGTGAGCAAATAGACTGGAGAGGCTCGGTGCAGAAAGGCTCTCTGAAGATGGCGGGGGATAGGATTTGGTTGTACGGGTCTGCAAGTCTGAGGACATCAGGCAGCGAGGACAGGAGCCTGAGGGCGCACTGTGCGCCCGGTCGGTGGGGACACGCTGCCATGCAGAAGAAAGGCCCAGAGCGAGCCGGCAGCGAGCCCAGCGCGCGCTAACCGCTGAGGCGCGTCGGGAAGGCCCACCTTTTCGCCGCCACACCAGTTCTCATTGGCGCCTCTTATTTCCCCACGGATTGGCTACCTCTGGATCCAATAAACCGGACATGAGCCCTACTTCCGGTAAGAGCGACGTCAGCCCCCGGAAAAGCCGGAAGAGTGCGCTTGCGCGCGTTTCGCAAACTAGCTGCAGCTTATGGGTAGAGGGGTGAGCAAGGTGGGGACTTGGGAGGGTGGGAGGTTTAGGACGGAAGAAGGTGGGACAGAGTGGAAGGGGCAGGGCTTTGTTGGGTTGTAGGGGGCGGGGCCTGCAGGGAGTGGAGGAATTAAAACAGGCGGACCTTAGATAAACATTCAGAGGCGAGGATTTGGTGGGCGGGGCCTTCGTGTTCCTGGACTCTTGGTGGGCGTGGTCTGTTGCCGGTAGATCTGGTTCTGAGTGGGCGGGGCCACTTTGGGGCGGAGCCTGATGTGGAAATATTAGCCTGCTCCCTTTTGCCCGGTAGCATGGGGCATCGAACTCTATCCTCCGTCCCGGCCCTATGGGCCTCCATCCCCTGTCCACGCTCTGAGCTGCGCCTGGACTTGGTTCTGGCTTCCGGACAATCCTTCCGGTGAGTGACCCTGGCCTGGAGTGCAAAGGACTGTTGGATGTGATGGAAGAAACCTCAGGGTACGAAAGAGGAAACCGAGGCACGGTGGAGAACCTGTTACCTTTTTTTTTGATAGCCGGGTGATTGTTGGAAGGGTGGAAAAATAGTTACTTTTGTAAAGAAGCCTGTGCAGTGTTGTTGTGAGGATCAAATGATGTAAAAGAAAGCACTTTTCAATTCATAAATAAGTTTTGTATATGGAGAGGTTGTAGGATGGGAGGGCCCCAAAGGGTGCAGGATGGGAAACTGAGTGCTAGGGCTGCCCTGTGCCTGGGGTCTCAGGTGGAGGGAGCAAAACCCTGCGCATTGGAGTGGCGTGCTGGCCGACCAGGTATGGACACTGACCCAGACTGAGGAGCAGCTCTACTGCACTGTGTACCGAGGAGAAAAGGGCCAGATTGGCAGGCCCACACCAGAAGAGCTAAAGGCCCTGCGCCAGTACTTCCAGCTGGATGTCAGCCTGGCGCAATTGTATCGCCATTGGAGTTCCGTGGACCCGCACTTCCAAAAGGTGGCTCAGAAATTCCAAGGTGAGTACAGGGCCTGGGACAGGGGTTTGGTTGGGGTTCTTGTAGTTTGGTTAGGTGACTGAGTTTCACCATCTGTAAAATGGGGATTATATCTACCTCATAGGATTTTATGAAGATTAAATAAACTAATACATGTAAATTTTTTAGAATAGTGCCTAACACATAGTAGTTATTATTACTATTATGATTGTCTTGCTGATCACCATCGTGGAGTGACAAGGATACTGACCCAAATTCTGGATGTGTGACCTGGGGCAGGTCACATCATTCTATAAATATTACAGAGGATCTACTATGTGACTGGGAATATAGCAGTGAGCAAAATGGACACAAATCCCCACCCTTATAGTGCTTATATTGTGGCTTCTTTATCTGTGGGATGGGATAATGACCCAGATCTCACAAGATGCTGTGAGGAATGAGAGCTCTGGTGTTGCTTTCTTTAACACTGTTGTCTCTCATTCCCCTGGGAGCCTAGGTGCCTAGGAACTGAGGGTTGAGAGGAGGTCACACCCTACAGCAGGTGCTTCTCCTACTCCCTGCCTTTCTGATCCTCAGGTGTTCGGCTCCTACAACAGGACCCCATTGAGTGCCTTTTCTCCTTCATCTGTTCCTCCAACAACAACATTGCCCGCATCACTGGCATGGTGGAGAGGCTCTGCCAGGCCTTCGGACCTCAGCTCATCCAGCTCGATGATGTCACCTACCATGGCTTCCCCAGCCTGCAGGCACTGGCTGGTGAGTAGGTGGGTGCCTGCCCCAAGGCCCACCAACAGCTTTTAGGGTCTGTTCAGTTGTCCCCTGGCTCCCATCTCCCATTTCAAAGTTTCCTGCCTTCCCAAAGACTTCCCTCATCTAGAATCACCCTACCTGTTTCTATCAGTGCCAGTCACACCTCACCCTCCCCATCTGTCCCTGAAATGTCAGCACCTCACTACTCTGCTTTTTGCCCCCTGGGTTCAATGCTTCGTCAGGAAAACATCCATATGCAGTGTACAGTAGTTTGAGGTTAAATGCACATATGTTTTTTTTAAGAGAAAGCTTATTTAGAAAGTCACAAAGGTAGAAGTGAGCTGTAGAAGAAATGGGTTCAGGAAACAAGTTAGAGGCAAAAGAATGGCCCTTGGAACTTAGACTAAGGGGGTGAGGAAAGGCACTGGTGTGCTCCATAGAGAGAGCCACTACACACGCTTTCTAGAAACAGACTGTCTGAGTCTGAATCCCAACTTTGGCACTTATTTAGCCTCCCTGCGCCTCTGTTTCTGTATCTGCCAGATGGGATAATAACCTATCGGAGTTGTCACAAGGGTTGAGTAAAGGAATACACATACTGTACCTAGCACTTTGTTTGGCATATGGGAAATATGGAGAAAATTCAAGTTGCTATCTCTATATTGAATACAACAATTTTGTATCCAAGAACACATGTATTCTTCACAGCAGCCTTGTGAGGCAAGTTTTTACCGAGACAGGTATCTCAGTTGGCAGTTGGTGAGGACCAAGCTAGGGAAAGTGCTTAGGGAATGCATAGTAAGGAGACAGCCTGCCTGGAGGAAAGAGATGTTTGTGGTGCTTAGAAACCCAGTCTTGGGCCTTAGCTCCCAGCTTAGCAGTCATAAGACCTAAAGAAATTCATTCACCTCTTCAGGCTTCTCTTAACTTGTTTGTAGGATGGTAAAAACAATTCCTGTCTAGAAGAGTGTGAGGGATGAGTGAAGCAATTGTGAAGCAGGTTTAGAGCACAGGAGCTGGTGTCCCAGACCCAGGTGCAGATCCCATCTCCACCGTGTCCTTTCTTGAGCAAGTCACTTTACCTCTTCTAAGCCCTCATTTTCTCCATCTGTGAAATAGGAAAACAACAGTACTATCATCAGGGTCCTTGAGAAAAGTAAGTGTGATAATGTAGTTAAAGCACTTTGCCTGTATTTGAGACCCAGCCCTTGATCATAGAAGCTATTGCTATTATCACTATTATTTTAGATCATGGGTGTGAACAACCCTTTGGAAAGGTTAAGAAACTCAATTGGGGAGTTCCTCCAGGGCAGCAAGTTCTTTTGAGTCCCTGCTCTAGTGCCCAACACATAGTAGGTGCTCGGAAAACATTTGTAGAGGGGTAGAACCCAGGCCTTAACCCTGTCCTTTGCACATGCAAGTGTCCTGGGGTCTCCCAGAGGGTGGTGAGGTGGGAGAAGGGTGCTTAGGGAAAGCATTCCTGTGGGTTGGAGGGCTCACACTAGCATGAGGACATAAAGGATTTGAGTATGTCTGACTTGTGTCTCCCCCCTCCCCCCCCAGGGCCAGAGGTGGAGGCTAAGCTCAGGAAGCTGGGCCTTGGGTACCGTGCCCGCTACGTGAATGCCAGTGCCCGAGCCATCCTTGAAGAACAGGGCGGGCTGCCCTGGCTGCAGCAGCTGCGTAAGGTCCCCTATGAAGAGGCCCACAAGGCCCTCTGCACCCTGCCTGGGGTGGGCACCAAGGTGAGGGTCCAGGGGGATAGGAGCTACCCTCACTACCCATGTAGAGAGAAACAGAGTAGGAGACAAGACAGGCCTGAGAGCTGGGTGCAGGCTCAGCTTCTGGAGGCAGAGCAGGAAGGAGAAAGGATACAAGCAGATATTTTATTAGAGAAAATGCAAAAAGGGTACAAAGGACATTGCCCTTTGAATGCATTTGTTACAAAGGCCATTTGTTCAGGTGCATATATACACTGCTATATATATACACAGAAATTTCTGGAAGGAATCACAGGAAACTTAATAGTGGTTACCTTTGGGAAGACACATAGATATTTCTACTTTTCATTTTATTCTTCTCTTGAAATTATATGTACTTATAAAACTTTTTGTTTAATTTCAACAAGATAATTGAGAATCTGGCATTTATTGTTTTCGTCTGTATACTTCTCTGTAGTTTTTGTTTAAAGAACTTTTTTTTTAATGGGCTCTGAACTGCACTCTAACATTAAACCTTTGTTCTGCCTCTTCTTAGCCAGGTAACTTGGGCCAAGCCACTTCACCTTTCAGAACCTCAGTTTTCTTATCTGCAAAGTGAATAGAGTACCAGCTTCTTCCCAGGTTATGAGAACTTGGCCTACATAATGTTCATGCAGTAGCACTCTCATCACAGCTATATTTAAAATTATTAATAGATGGTATATATTGATTGAGAATATAGAATAATAGTAACCTCAGAGTGGAGGAGGAAGTATACCTGGCTTTCGGGCTAGAAACAGGATGCTGCCTGGATCCTACCATTCCTCCTCTGAGGCTCGCTCACTCTGTCTCTGTCAAAGGTGGCCGACTGTATCTGTTTGATGGCCCTAGACAAGCCCCAGGCCGTTCCCGTGGATGTCCATGTGTGGCAGATTGCTCAACGTGACTACAGCTGGCACCCCACAACAACCCAGGCCAAGGGTCCAAGCCCCCAGGCCAACAAGGAACTAGGTAAGGAGAGAGGGAGATGCCAGGGCAGGTGGTGGAAACTTCTCACACCTCTCTGTAATACCCTGTCCCTGTGGATGGGGAATGCGAGGGGCCAATTTGTTTTGCGTCATTACCTCTGACTTAGGAAACTTTTTCCGGAGCCTTTGGGGACCTTATGCTGGCTGGGCCCAAGCAGTGAGTATACCTAGGCTTCCTCTCCTCCTCCAGCCCAGACCCCATAGGACTTCTCCCCAAGCCCTGACCCAGGGGACTCTTCTACTGTTGATGCCTCAAGTGACCCTAAAGGATTCTCTACCCTCCATCTCCAGCCCCAACTCTAGTGGACTTGTGTTGCTCTGGCCCTGCTCCCCAGGAGTTCTGTGTCTCCCCACAGTACCACCAGCCCCACCGGCGCTGAACCCAGTGTACCCTGTCCCCACACAGACTCTTCCCCCTGCCCCCAGGTGCTGTTCAGTGCTGACCTGCGTCAACCCCACCAAGAAGCACCAGCAAAGCGCAGAAAGAGATCCACAGGGCCCGAAGTCTAGGTGGAGGGCACAGGACAAAGGGATTCTCCCAGTACCTTTCACCTCCGTTCCCCGTGCTCTCCGCCATCCAGCCTCATGTTGGGAAGGGGGCTCCTTGCAGCTACCTCAGGGGCGAGGCGCCCTCAAATCAAGCAGTTTGCACAACAGTGTGGGGTGGGGGTTGTATGGGGAGACAAAGCTACCTATGGTTTCACCCTCTTCCCTTTATTACAAGAAGGAACAATAAAATAGAAACATTTGTATGGAAAACGCAGTGGAGGAGTGGAAGGGAAGGAGTCGGGGGTGAAGCCAGGTAGCCCCAGTTTAAGGAGAGAAGGGGAGCAAGCTGCCCCCAGTCTCTCCCACACAGGAGATCCTGACCCTAGATCCAGGGACCTAGAGCTGGGGGGACAGTCTGGGGGACAGTTCCGGGCCCTGCTCCACACAGCAGTCTCGACAGCAGCAGCCAGCCGCTGGCCCTACATGGGAAGAGAGAACAGAGTTGGCAGTAGAAGCAGACCCTCCACTCCAGCCTGGGTGCCTCTTCATAGACCACCCGTGCCCTTCCACAGAGTCCTGGTCCTTACCCCCAGTTGCTGGTGTCAGCAGCTCCCCGTGGCTCGCCGCCGGTCCCTGCCCCTCCTGGCTGGTGCCCAGCTGCAGCTTCCTCATGTGCCGTACCACAGCTGTGGCATTGAAGGCTTGCTGTGGGGCGAGGGGGGAGAAGGGACTTTTGAGAGAGTGGGAGATCATGGGGCAGGGTCTGGTGGGGGGATTCTTGTAGGGGTTCTGCTCTTTTCAAGTGTTAGTGATTGATCCTCTAAAACCACCTGAAATATCTGCAAGGCTTTATTAAATTATATTCAGCCATATTACATATTTACCCACATATATAAAAAGTATATATATAAACAGATATATAACTTTTTATATATGATTAATTCATATTCACATAATAGCAAACAAGAATTATGTGTCAGGCATCGTTCTAAGCACTTTACATAGTAATTCGTTTAATCCTCACAAAAGCCTTTGAGGTGAGCACATTGTCAGAGGAGGAAACTGAGGCACAGAGAGGTTAAGTAACTTGCCCAGGTATGTATATATCATTATTCAACGTATCCACCTAGATGTCCCCATATACCTCTCAAATTCACCATGTCCAAAACCAAAGTCATCCCCCCAAGACAAGTTCCTGGCCAGCCCTTGACATTTCTTCTCACCGCAACATCCATTCTGCCACCACTTCTTGTCAGTTCCACCTCCTAATCGACTCCTGGACCAACCACTGTTCTCTGTTCCTGTTGCCTCTGCTCTGGTCCAGCCCACACTGTCTCCTGCCTGCATCTCTGCCACATCCTCCTAAGGGGTCTCCCAGCCTTCATTCCATGCCCCTCTGCATCCTGAGAGCCCTTTCTAAAGGGCAAATTCCTGCTGAAAATCCTTCCGGGGCTCCTCAGCATTGTCAGGATCAAGTCAGAGCTCCACTGTGGCACTTGAGACCCTGAGCAGCCTGGCCCCCACAGCCCCTCCAGTCCAGCCATGCTTAGCACCGGCACTTCCTTGAATGGCCACACTCTTGCCCTTGGCCCTTTGTACATTGGTTCCTTCTGCCTTAGACATTATTCTACTGTGCCTGGCTAATTCCTACTCAGCTGTCAGGCCTGTCAGGCCATCACCACCTTTATGCCCTTTCCAGGACCCTGTAGGTTGGATGTCTCCTTAAGAATTATATACTGTGGTCCCTCTAAACTTGGAGGTCAGGGACCCTCACTGGAATAGGTGTCAGGGAGCACTGAGCGAATGAAAGGTTCTTCGGTAAGCCCTTGAGCAGTTACTGTGTGCCCATCTTGATGTTAGGTGTTGTGTAAGCTAAGGCATGGTTCAGGGTGGGGAGGAGTCCTGGGGAGGCTGGAACCCAGGACGAAGAATGTGGCTCACCTTCCACTTGCTCTTGGCAAAGTTCTTCTTGATCTGCTCACTCACTGACTGGTGAATATTCTTATCTAAAGCCGTATCTCCTGCAATCCTAGGGTAGGGGTATGTGGAGGGTTGTCTGTGAAGGCAGAGGCAGGCCTGGGGGCCCAAGGCCCCACCCCAGTTCACAGCTCATGGGAGTTCTCACCATGGGTGCTGCAAGGCCTGCTCACAGGTGAACCTCTTCTCTGGGTCCTTCTCCATCAAGTGCCGGATGAAGTCTTTGGCTGAACCCCCAAGACAAAAGCAAAGACAGAAAGAACATGGCAGTGTCTGTTGACACCCCCAAAACAGAACCCACTCCCTCAGGTCTGGCCTGACATCCAAGCAAGACAAGAGGCCAGATCTGTCCATGCACCACCCCGCCCCCCCGTTCTTTCTTTAAGCCCTCCAAGCACCCCAGCCTCCCAGCTCTCTCCTTTTTCCCTTAAGAAAAACTTGTTCTTATAAAAGATTCTATTCAGTGTATTCACACTGATGTATAAATGAGTGATAATGATTTCACAGGTTTGCCCCCTCCTAGGAGGCACAAAAGGACAGACGAAAACTTTTATGTGGTGTTTTAGGCATTAGGATGTCAGTGGGGGAGGTATTTTCAAAAATACTATGTTTGAAGACTGAATGAATGAATGCCTATAGGTTTCTCAAAGCAGGGCCAGGCAGAGGGAAGAACCCGGGGTGGGTGTCTCAAAGACAGCTTTTAGTCTGGGGCCGGGGAATTGACTGAAGGAAGGCAGTGAGGAAACCCCCAAAGCAGATGAGGAAGGCACCAGAGGTAGGGCCCAGGGGAAGAAGGCAAAGCCCCAAATACCAGAGTCAGAGATGTCGTCCCAGTAAGGAGAGTCAAACTCGTACTCGGCCTTCAAAATCTGTTCAAAGAGTTTGGCATCATTCTCGTCATAGAAGGGGGGGTAACCGCAGAGCCTGGGCAGGGAGAAACTCATCCTCATTTCCATTTTCAGTGTACCCATTGGCTCCGGGATGGAGCTTTGGGGCAGTCCCAGGGGTCAGGCAAGACCCACAGGAAGGAGTGCCCCCTTTTACAAAGGGGGCTGGGGGAATCTACCCCTCTCTGCCTTGTTCTCTTCTGTCCACCTCCACTTTCTGTTTTTTAACATGCCACTGTCTTCCCTTCCTCAGGGCCTTTGCACTTGCTGTTCACGTCTGGCTCATTCACTTCATTCAGGATGCCACTCAAATGTCACCTAAGAGAGGCCTTCCCTGACCTTTTCATCTAAAATGGCTTCCACCCCCCCCTCTCCCTACCCTGCTTCATTTTTCTTTATAACACTTTTTACCACCTGACATTTTAGGGATTTATTTACTTATTTACTTATTTATTTACTTGTCTCTCCCCTACTAGCGTGTCTGCTCCCTGAGGGCAGGCACTTTGTTCTGTTCTGTGCTTAATCCCCAGTGCTTGGTGCAATGCCTGAAACATAGTATCTTTTGAATGAAGTAATATTAGTCATTAATTGGTAAACAAAAATGTGGATGGCAGGAAAGAAGAAGGAGCAGAGGGGAGGAAGAGAGCAAAGTAGGGGAGAAGAGAACTCTGGAGCATACACCCCAATGGCCAAGCCCCCACTCACAGGATATAGGCGATGACTCCAATGGACCAGCAATCCACTGCCTTGCTGTAAGGCTTCTGGGCCAGGACCTCAGGAGCTATGGAGGGAAAAGGACATGGTGGTGACAAATCTCTGCCCTGCAGCTCCTGGTTCCTCCCCTGCCCATGGCCCCAGCCCAGGGCCCTCCGCACCCACGTATCCCGGGGTCCCGCAGGCTGTGGAGAGTACACTGCTGGGGTCCTCCATCTTGGAGAGGCCAAAGTCGGAGATCATGATCTTGGAGTCTTCATCCAGGCTGTAGTACAGCAGGTTCTCTGGCTTAGAGGGCAGGAGGGAGGGGAAGGGGCAGTCAGAGATGGCCAGAGGCTGGCAGAACCTCCTGTCTTCCCAAGTACCCCCTGCGAAACAGTGGGCCCCCAAAAGCCACTGTGGCTTCACAGCTGCTATCTTGGTTGGACGTGCAACAAACTAAAGGAAGTTATCAAGAAGATGAAAAATTCTAGTAAGGACGAGGGCCATGAAGATGTGGGAGGGAATTTCCTGGAAACCTCAGATACTTACTGTGAAACACTAAATAAATAATTTTTGAGCACCTACTGTGTGCTAGATCTTGTGGTAATGCTTGATTTCATGTCATCCTTATCACACCCCTACCAGACCAGCCCGAATAATCCCACCTTACAGATGAGGACACTGATGCCTTGAGAGGAAAAGTGACTTGCCTGAGAACCTACAGTTAGGGAGTAACAGGGCCAGGATTCAAACTCAGATCTGTCTCACCCCAGATCTGGCCCTCTCTAGACTGGAACGAGAGGTACTACACAAGGTGAACCCCATCACAATCTCTGAGAAGTAGGATTTCAGATGTTTCTAGCTTTTTTCATTATGTTTTGCTCTCCCAAGTTTTCCACAAAGAGCAAGTGGAAATTTTATTATCAGAAAAAGACACAAGACATTATTTGGATAAAATGACAGAGTTCACCTTTGTGTCCTTTTGAGTGTCTGAACTGGAATGGGAGGAAGCAGTTTAGGGCTTAAAAGGTCCATTTTGCAGATGGGAAGCCAAGGCTCGGCAAAGGGGTGAAAGTTACCCAAGTGAGAAGTATGCAGAGCCCCATCCCTGGGTGCTCAAGCTCACCACACCCTCACACCTCACCTTGAGGTCCCGGTGTACAATGCCCAGATCGTGCAGATACTTGACAGCATCCAGCACCTGGAATATAAGGCGGCTGGCGTCCCGCTCTGTGTAGAAGCCTTTTTCCACAATGCGGTCAAACAGCTCTCCTCCTGACACCCTGCAGCAGAGAGCAGAGCAGTCTGACCAAGAGAGAAGCAGGGGGGCTCGGGAGGGGCAGCAGAGAGAGATGTGAGGAAGGGTTAGAGGCTGGGTTACTCACAGCTGCATAATGAGGTAGAGGTGACCCCCACTCTCATAGATGTCATCCAGGGCAACAATGTTGGGGTGCTTGATCCTGAATGGAGAAATGAGGTGGTTCAGAGCTGAGGACAGCTCAGCCACCTTCCCACCCTCACCTTGAAGGATCACCAGCTGAAAACCAAGGATCTGGATCCCAAAGGGAAAAGCTGACTTACCACAGTTGATTATAATGTGTTAGAAGGCAGGAGAGCACAAAGGTAAACACTAGACTCTGGCATCGGACAGACTTGGGTCCAAACTTGCCTATACTACGTGCTATTTGGGGACAAGTCTTTTCACCTCAC